AAATGTAGCTGGGTTAATTTGGGTTCCAATACAATTGTCTTCAAAAGGGGACGCGCAGAAATATCGCGTGAAATATCTGGCGAAAGTTTCGCCAATCATAGGCAAGAGTGATCGGGAAACGCACGAATCTAGCTGGCGAGGTGCTTGGGAGGGGTGCGAGAGTGCTGCGAGAGATATGGCACCGAGTTTTCGATATGGAAGTTTTTGCAATTCACCTGTTTTTTAAATAGCAATTCAATGCGCTTAAAAAATGTGCGCTTATAATGAAATAACGGATATAAGCGCGTTTGCACTCTATAAGCCCACTGGGCTTAATAAATGGATGCGCCTATATCCGGGTGATCACGGTATTTTCTGATCCCGGTGGATCAAGGGTTTTTGCAGAGTGGGTGGAGCATTTTCCTATCCTGGGTGTACTATTACTTCTAGTATGGCTATATGGGGCTCTCCTTATGGGGGGACAACCCCTTGCCAGATTCTCGTTTTTCTCCTCTCATAGAGCCACGCACGTTCCTCGCACCTCGCAGTCACAGAGGGGAGACAATTCCCTTAGTAGATTTTCGTTATTCTTCCCTCACAGCACGTCCTAACGCCTCAAGGTCACAAACAGAGAGGAGACAACCTCCCTTAGTAGATTTTCGTTTTTCTCCCCTCACAGCGCCGTGCATAACTCAAAGTCACGAACAGATGGGAGACAACCCCTTTAGTGGATTTCGTTTAGCTCCCCTCATAGCGCCGCGCACCTTACTCACACTTGAAGATGAGCGAAACTAGCAAGTGAATGAAGGGACTCGCTGCAGGCAGAGGCAACGCGTTCAATTGAAGCACGCGCTGGTTGCATGTTACGCTATGCGAGGTTGTGTTATGCTTGCACAACGCTAATATAAGTAGCCCGCCTCATGCTGCATACTTTGAGGAACGCTGTGCTTCAATTTGCGCGAGTGCGTGTTTAGAGTTGTGCGCTGAGAGCCACAAGAGTTACGCGCTTTGAGCTGCGCGGTTTGAGTATCGCGCAGCGTTGGGAGATGCGCGTTGCAATTGACGAATCGCTATTCTCCTATGACCAAACGTTCCTCGCATCACATATTAATACAGAGCTGCAAGCAAATATTTCGATCAAAATTGTCACACATTAGCGGTATTCGCGGGCGTACATGGATTTAGAAGCACCTACATCGGGTGACACTGAGCCCGTCAATATAGTTTTAGGGCATGACCTCAATGACTATGAGATGATGGAACCTCGACCCATTGAGGTGGACCTCAATGAGATCGGCGAACGTGTGTCAACAATTAGTCTACACGATGATGAGAGCGACACGGGTGATGAGCCTCCTTCAACTCCAAGTGTAGCATCATTTCCTGCCAGCAGTATAAATCGCAAACGGTCTAGGCAGTTAACACTATGGGGTGCACCCATCCGTGCTAAGTAGAGGCGAACACATGTCCCCCATGTGGCTGGATCTGCTGACGTCCGCATTCGTGAAAAGGAACGTGCCATTGCCCGAAAGTTCAACAAGTCATGGCGTGAAATCTTTGACTGGTTGGAGCTGCAGTATGACAAGGACGCCAAGATGTACGGGCTTAAGTGCACTGTCTGTAAGAAGCATGCTGATCGCAATGCCAACACACCCTATGTGATTAAGGGTATTGGGGCTCGTGATTTTCAAAAGGGAGCCATCCGATGTCACCAGAAGTCGACTCTGCACAAGCAAGCTCTGGCACGCAAACGGAGAGAGGAGGAGGGCGATTCCAAGCAGAGACGTTTGGATGAAGTCGTATCGACCGACGCTGTGGCTAAACATGTGGTGACTTGCATGCAAACCGGCCATTTTCTTGTGCGTAATGACTGCCCCATCGTCATGTACCCACCCCTCGTTCGCCTCATGCTGGATCTAGGCATTCCTGGGTTCTCTACCAAGGATGTCTATGCCCACTACGTCACATCGTAAGTACAAATCTACTACCTTCTCTATGTGTATGTTCAACCGTTTCACTGCTGTATGAATAAGCTAATAATGTGCTCAAGCAAACAAAAGTTTTTCCCGTTACTCAAGACGTGTCTGTATGGGTCTCCAGATATGGCATGAGGGAGTTCCTCACGGCTCAGGCAACATACTTACGAGACGAGCAGCTCAGCCATATAAAAGGAGGGAAATTCTACGGCCTCTCCCTTGATGAGTCCACCGATCGGGCACATGGGAAACACTTGATAGTATACATCACCTTTGAGCGCCAGGGTCGGATTGTCACAGAGTTCTTTGCCCATTTGCCTGTTGAGCGGTGCAATGCGGCCTCGCTATACAACACCGTCATAAGCTACCTGGAGGAACTTGAATTGGGCACTGATGGGATGATTGCACTGGCCACGGATGCGGCTTCCGTCATGGTGGGAGAGCGAAGCGGCGTTGCTGCACGATTCAAGGAGAGATGTCCATGGCTAGTGGCTACTCATTGTATTGCTCATCGGTGAGCAGGCAGCTTTCACGTTTCTTCCTCCTTGTTCCAATCTGTCTATTTCTGGAATCAGGTTTAGGGCACCTTTGCATGAAATCCTTTGCACACCCTAATACCCTCCATCTCCCCTCCCCCCTTGTCTTCCACCACCTTTCCCCTTTCGGCTTCCAGGGAGGCCCTTGCTGCCAAAGTTGCTGCTGCTGGAATACCAGACCTTGAAGTGGTTGACAGCCAAGTGTAGAAGACCGGTGAATAGTTTCGCGGTCGTCCAACGATCGTCGCACGTTTCATGAGCTGGAACTCGAAATCCTGGACAAGGATCTTGATGTGCTAAGCATTCATCTCATGCGATGGCTGTCGCGTGGAAACGCTTTAGCTCGATTTTGTGATGTTCTGCCAGCACTCTTGCTGATGTGGAAAGCCGAAGACCCGAAGATGTATGAGATCGGCAGCAGTTTCAAATTTGTTTTCATGCTGTACATGCTGGCTGACATTTTGGAGGACTTGAACGAGTTGAACCTCCACTTCCAGAATGCCTAGGTACAGTATGTACTACTTGTTACACGTGGTCATACACCTCTGCTGATTTTTCTTATGCTTGAGTGTCTATGCTTGTTGCTTTTGCTTGTGTTGCTTATTCTTATCTTGCGAGTGTATGTTTTTTGTGCTTGTGTTGATCTCACATCACCCTCTCCTCACCCATGGCAGGTGGACATGACAGAGGTGAAGAATGTAGTGGACAAGATCATCATCAAGCTTGAGCAGCGGTATGTGCACTTCGGCAAGCAGTTCGGTGACGGAAGGAGCGAAAGGTTGTCAGCATTTCTGCACCAGTACGGAGATCTGGGAAGTCGCACCATGGTGATTGAGGGGAAGGGAGAGGGCAGCCATGGCCGTCCTCATCACATTCTGCTGCATGAGCGCCCCATTGGGAAGAAGAACAACTATGGAACGTCATTGGAGGAGTGCTGCCGCATGGGCAAAGCCAACGCCATGATTGCATGTTTGAAGTCACGCTTCCGGAACTTGAAGGACATGGATGGAACCAGCTTGTTCAAGCCATATGTCTATCCGGTGAAAGTGGGGGAGAAGGATGGGCAGCATATGCTCTGGCTGCGCAGCATGCTCAGCATGTTTCGTACCAAGTTGCCAGGTATGAACGCATATCTTGTGCATGTCACTTTGTTGGATTCACACTACGGATGCCAAATTCTTCAGTTACCCACCTCATGGGATGTTGCTGATCTCTAGTATCATTCCCTTAGCTCTGATTTCAGCCTTTGCATGTCATGATGCCTTTTGCTGCTACCTTTCATAACCCTTCTATGGCTGCTCTCTCCCTTGATGACCATGGCTGCCCTCTCCAATCCCCACAATCACATTGGTGCTTGGTATGATACCCTAAATCCATGATATGCATAGGCTGATATTCTTACATTTCTTACCCTCTGCTTTGTGCCCTTGGTGACAGGCATTACCTATGAAGCTTGTGTGCAGGAGCTGCGTTGCTTCTCCACTGTCCTCGAGCTGCATTAGAAGAAGCAAGGGTTCTTCCAGAGCGTGAGCAACATGCTGGGCACTTCAGATTGGCAAAAAAGCTACCCCAATTTGGTCAATTTGCGGAGGGCAGTGACTGTAATCCCCTTGAGCACTGTTGAGTGTGAGAGGGGTTTTTCCAGGTAGAATATCATTAAGACCATTGATCGTACTAGCCTTTCAGATGGGAGGCTGTGTGAGCTGATGAGAGTGAAGATGCTGAACTACGACATTGATTGACTGCAGGTACTGAATGTGTTCTTCGTCATGAAGAGCAGGAGGATTGGTCATGATGTCTAAGCATGCTAGCATGATGCTTTGTCCTATGCTCTAGCACTAGTATTCGAATAAGTAGGTAAGAGTAGTTGTAGCACTAGTAGTACAAGTAGTAATAGTAGTATCGTAGTATTAATAGTAGTGGTACAAGTTATGCTCTTGCAGTAGTTCATGAATAATCGGCTTGGAAGCAAGCATGTTGTTACTACATATGATTGTCCTTTTTGCATTGCATCTCTCTTAGTGCCCATATCTCTCCAGGTATGCGGTTTCTAACCTTGGCTGTGAAAAGGGTACTATGTGAACAAACCCTGATGATTAAGGGTAATCGCTTAAGGAGCCTGATTTTCTAAGGGGGACTAAAAACCAAAAGTAAGCCCTCCTGAAAACCCTCCATCCACCCACCCAGCCAGCAACAAAGATGTGTCTCGGTCGGACCCGTTTGGCTTGGCCTGCACACCAGGCAACGCCCCTCGGACCTAATCCCAACCATCCATCCATCCATCCATCCGCGATAGCATTTCGTTTCAGCGAATCAAGGGCATTCCGGCCCGAGACGCCACTCAAAACCCGCTGCCGTCGTGAGACGCGATGCTGCTGCCGACTTTTTCCGAAAATCCCCATCCGGCAGCGAGGGGGTTCCGCTCCGCGCAACCCCGTCTGTCATGGATCAAGCGGCCCTTCCTTGCTGTCCGCCCATCCGGCAAATGTAGCCCCATGCCTCTGTTGTTCCGTCCAGCCCTTCCCTAAGCAGCGGCGAGGGCAGTGTGACCGTTCCGAGGGTACTGTGCTGTGCTGTGCACCTAACCTGCGCCTCCTCTCATATGCGCCTCCTCTCCTCTCCGCCTCTCTCCTCGCCTCGCCTTCTCTTTTCCTCGAGTCAACAAACTACAGTGTGTAGTATTTGAGAACGAGGCACCCGTTCGTCGTTTCATTTTACACCTGTGCATAGCACAGCATCTGAGGCGCGTCAAAATAAAGCCCTCCAGATAGCCGTAGTGCGTCAAGATGCAGCCGACGACTCGGCTTCGTACCGGCCCTGGCCGCGGCGCCATCACACTCGCCCATCTCTGCGCCGTCGTCTTGGCGCTGACGGCGACACTGCCGGCAATGCTGCCGGTGGTGCCGCTGGCGGGCGCACAGCCGATGGCGGGGCCGCGGTGCGTGAACCGGTTTCCGCAGAAGCCGCTGTGCAAGTTCGTCGACGACCTCGCCGGGGCGCCGCTCACCTTCCTCGACGCGTCGGCCGGCAAGACGATCGAGATAGGCGCGTATGACGTCTATCAGGCAAGTCGCATGGCCGACTGATGATTGCTTACAATCGTATGACGTGTAGCACCAAGGGAGTCGGACGTGTACCAGTCGAGTATGGTGGTCCCATGGCTTGAAAATCAAGTAGACTGATGATCGACTCATGGTTTATGTAAAGTCGCGCTGTTAGTGCATGTTGTAGTAGTAGCGCGTTTGCGTTTGCGTTTGCGTTCTTTCCGCTAGTGCGCTCATTGTAATACCAGACGATTATTATAGATTCATTGACCCCTCCACCCACCCTCTCCCCCACCTTTTCTCCCCCTCCTTTCTTCTTCCCCCCCCCTCCCCCTCTCCCAATCTTCCCCCCTTCCCCCCCCCCCCCCCCCCCCGCAGAAGTTCCACCGCGATCTGCCAGACACCAAGGTGTATGCGTACGGCGTCTCCCGCAGCTCGGCGCGCTACCCGGGCCCCGTGCTCGTCGCGAAGCGCGGCACCACCACCAAGGTGAGCGGCGCTTCAACGCCACCTCAGCTTGTCAGCCGCGTCACGTCAGCCTGTCGCCATGTGCTGATTTGTTGTGCCGTTTTGCCGCGCTTTCACGCACGCTTACTGCTGACTTGCTTCCTTACCCGACTCCAATTACTGTCTGATCCGCTGTGCGTTTTCACGATCGAGCGCAGGTGAAGTTTTCGAACCACATCGAGGACAAGCAGCACATGTTCACGGTCGACCCCACCCTCATGGCGCCCAAATTAAAAAATGGCGGCGTGCCGATCTGTAAGTTGGATGGTGGACTCTCTGCCGTTTAGCTCGAGCCTTCCGTTTCTTTATATTGAATACCCCCCCCCCCGCTCCCCCCCCCCACCCCCCCCACCCCCTCCCCCCCACCTCTGGTACCATCGCAGCCGTTCATCTGCATGGCGCGGAGACGCCAAGCAAGTTCGACGGCCATCCGATGGCGTGGCACACGGCGTTTGGGGAGCAGGGACCCGAGTTCGAATCACAGGAGCACCAATATCCGAACGAGCAGCGCGCGACGATGCTGTGGTACCACGACCACACGGTTGGAATGACCGCAATCAACGTCGCTGCTGGGATGGCAGGGCTATACGTTATCCGCGATCCGCAAGGCGAGGAGAGAAGGCTCAAGAAATGGCTGCCACGTGGCGCGCGTCAATTGCACCTCCTGATTGCTGACAGGATGTTTTTTCCGAACGGATCGATGAATTATCCGAATGTGGGGTCGGTTCCGAACGTGCACCCGAACTGGACCCCCGGTCTCAGAGGGGATACGATTGTCGTCAACGGCAAGGTGAGCCCCCTTTAACGAGTTATGTTGCAAGCGTTTCATTTTTTTTCTGTAGAAATGGTGTAATGATGCTCGGCTAGAATGTCTCTTCCCTTCCCTTTGATCTCTTTCTGCCTGACAATCCTCATAATCGCTAGAAGTATTTGGCCCTCATCATGGTGTCATTGTCCCAACCAACCAAACCAATCCAACCCGTCAGGTTTGGCCGTACCTCAAGGTTCGGCGGGCGCAGCACCGGCTTCGGATGGTGAATGCAGGCAACGCGCGCACGTACAACCTCTCGTTCCAATGCGCTGCGCGCGGCGATTACAACTTCAACCCCCCTCTGGGAGGACCTGTCGTGCCCTTCTACCTGGTGCGTCTGTTGTTTCGGTCGCACCAAAAACACCCCCCTGACTCTATCAACCTCTCCTTCCAGTGCGCTGCACTGCGCACGGGGACTACAACCTCAACCCCCCTCTGGGAGGACCCGTCGTGCCCTTCTACCTGGTGCGTGGGAGGTCCCGTCCCGTCCATACCCCCTATGAACACGCACCAACAGCTGTACAGTATAGTTAACGAACCCCCCTGCGCCACAGCTGTACAGCTGTACTGTTGCACATGCTGATATTTCGTTTGTTCTACTGATTCATTCACCCTCTCCCCCTCCCCCCCCCCTGCACCCTCACTCCCCTCTCCCCCACTCCACTATTCTCCTCTCCCCCCTTCCCCCCCAAATAGCCTAGCCTGCTGTCTTACCTTCAGTCTGCTGCTGTCCTTCCTTCAAACCTTTCCCACAAGCAGATTGGTTCTGACGGCGGCTACCTCTCCCACCCACCCTCTGCGCCGCACCTCCATCCTCTTTGCTTCCGGCAAGCGCCTTTTCACTCGACATTCTCCTTGACTTCAGCTACCGCCTGTTCCCCCCCCTCCGTTTCCCCACCCCCTCTCTCCTGCTACCAGATTGGTTCCGATGGTGGCTACCTGGCACACCCTCTGCGCCGCACCTCCATCCTCTTCGCCCCCGGCGTGCGCCATGACATGCTCCTCGACTTCAACGCTGCGCCCGCCTGGTGCCGAGACGTCATCCTCGTCAACTCTGCCCCGCAGCCCTTCCCCGTGGGGCTGAACGCCGACTGGTTCACGGGCGTGGTCATGCGCTTCCGAATCAACGAGCGCAGGCCCATGGCAGCTCCTGCGCTGCCTAAGAGGCTCTCGGTGAGTGAGTGTGTGGGTGAGAGTGTGCGGGTGAGTGTCTGGCTGGGTGTGTGGGTCATTGTCGTCTCCGTGATTGGTTCACGGGGGTGGTCATGTGGTTCAGGATCAACGAGCGCAAGCCCATCGCAGCTCCGGCCCTGCCTAAGCGGCTCTGGGTGAGTGTCTCCCTCTTGCTCTGCAGGGTGTTTTTGGGAATTCTCATAAACACCCTGCAAAGTCTCCCTCTTGCTCTTACCCTGCAAAGTCTCCCTCTTGCTCTGACACTCTCTGGCTCACGAACAGCGCCCCGCAGCCCTTCCCCGTGGGGCTGAACGCCGACTGGTTCACGGGCGGGGTCATGCGCTTCAGGATCAACGAGCGCAGGCCTATCATAGCTAGCTCCTGCCCTGCCTAAGAGGCTCTCGGTGAGTGAGTGTGTGAGGGAGTGTGTGGGGGAGTGTGTGGGTGAGTGTGTGTGTGAGCGTGTGGGTGAGTGTGTGGGTGTGAGTGATTGGTTCACGGGCGTGGCAATGCGGTTCACAATCAAGCCTATCGCAGCTCCTGCCCTGCCTAAGAGGCTCTCGGTGTTTGCCTCTTGCTCTCTTGCTCTGTCTGCCGCCATTCTCCCTTCCCCATGGGGCTGAACGCCGACTGGTACACAGGCGTGTGGCCATGTGGTGATTTGATTCAAGATCAACCAGCGCTTGCGGGTTAAGCTTCCAGCCCTCCCCTAGAGGCTCTTGATGAGTGTCTCTGGCTCTCCCGCTCAATTTGCCGGCTCTCCAGCTCTTGCCTTACCTGTCATCCACTCCTCTCTCTCTGCCATTCTGCTCTGTGCGCAGTATATTCCCCCTGTGGACGTATCCCAGGCAGTGAAGCAGCGGTGGCTTGCCATTCCACTGCCCATGCCTCACTCGGTCCCCTCCCTGCCTTGCCTCACCGGTCCTCCACTCCTCGCCTCTCTCTCTGTGCCATTCTGCGCTCTGAGCAGTACATTCCCGCAGTGGACGTATCCCAGGCAGTGAAGCAGCGGTGGCTCGAGATCACGATAATAGTCGACCCGGTGGTGAACAAGACGATCACCATGCTGTTCAACAACAAGGCGTACATGGACCCTGCCACTGAGACACCCAAAGTAGTGAGTGTCAAAGGGGTAGCTGTCAACGGGGTAGCTGTGAAAGGGGTAGCTGTCAACGGGGTAGCTGTGAAAGGGATAGTTGTGGATGGAAGGGTCGGCTTGAGAGGTGCTGCCAGCATTGTTGCAGCTCGTCAAAGGCTCGTCAAAGGCTCGCCATCACGATAGCCTGTAGACTTTCCCCCAGGCTTCTACTCCTTCGCCACTGCATAGCTTTCTCAATTCCCTTTTTTCGCAGGGCAGTTCTGCGCTTTAACTCGTAATCAACCCGACCATCCCCATGATGCCATGCCTATCGTTGAGGCACCCCATCCCCTCTCTCTCCCTCTCTGCTCCTCCAGGGCACGTCAGAGATTTGGCACATCATCAACCCGACCTTTGAGACGCACCCCATCCACCTGCACCTGGTGCAGCACCGCCCCATCTCCCGCCGTCCGATCAACTCGGGTGGGCTCATCAACGGCTCGTGCTCGCTGGACCCCTCCTCCTCCAAGCCCAGCTGCTTCACTGGCCCGGCCCGCCCCGTGCCCCGGCACGAGCAAGGGTGGAAAGACACCACCGTGGCGTTCAATGACATGGTTACCACCATCTTCGTTCCGTTCAAGGGGCAGGTGAGTGGGGCACAATGGGGGTGGGGGTGGGGGGTGGGTATGAGCAGGGGTGTCTTTCCACCCTTGTGGCGTTCCCGGACAGCGTTGGATCGATCTTCATTCCCTTCAAGGGGCAGGTGAGCAGCATCAGCATCTTGTGCCGTTTCGCCCACCAAGCCCGGCCCATCTGGTGCCGCGGCATCAGCAGGGGTGGGAAGACACCACCGTGGTTTTGGCGGAGTCGTATCGATTTTTGTTACTCTTCAAGAGGCAGGTAAGGTGGACTCCACTGTTGGGATGTGGTGGGATATTGATTTTACCACATTGATGTTACAACACTGATTAAGATCAAACATGGTGTAACTGTAGTTAGTTACGCCCTTATAACAAGTCCACACCTTTTTCACCTATTGCCCCAGTGCCTTGTGTGCCGACCCCTTTTATCCCCCCTTGTGTCTTCACCCTTCCAGCAATGCCAACCCCTTGTATAAACCACCCCTTGTCTATACCACCCCGTATGCGCGCCTTGCCTAAACCCCTTGTCCGAACCGCCCCTGATCTCGGCATGTGCAGGACGGCAAGGCGTTCCCCTTCGATGCCACCGAGGGGCCGGGCTACGTGTGGCACTGCCACTCGCTGGGGCACGAGGACAACGAGATGATGAGGCCGCTCATTATGACCTCTTAGGAGGATCCCGTGACCTTGGGACGCCTCTGCTGTGCTTGGCTTGGCCCCTGGGGGTGGCTTGGGCTACGTGTGGCACTGCCACTCGCTGGGGCACGAGGACAACGAAATGATGAGGCCGCTCATTATGGTGACCTCTTGGCACCGCTTGACGTTTTACTGCCTCTGCATGGTGGTGTGTGTCAACTTATACATATTATCTATGTAGAAGTTATAGGCTAGACTGAGGTATGCTTCTAGTGAGTACAACCAACTAGTATTTGTTCTAGGTTTCCACCTCTAGTAATCATTCGTTTCTACGTTAACATGGTATCACGCTTAGGTTACGATCCCCCCGCCTACCGCTTCCGCCCGTCGCGCCTCCTAGGCCCCGTCGCGCCCCCTAGGCCCCGTCGCGCCCCCCCTGGGCCCCGTCGCGCTCGTTAGGCCCCGTCGCGCCCCCCCTGGGCCCCGTCGTGCCCGCTGGGCCCCGTCGCGCCTCCTAGGCCCCGTCGCGCTCCCCCTGGGCCCCGTCGCGCCCACTGGGTCCCGTCGCGACCCCTAGGCCCTAACGCGCCCCCGCTGGGCCCCGTTGCGCCTCCTAGGCCCCGTCGCGCCCCCCATGGGCCCCGTCGAGCCCGCTGAGCCCCGTCGTGCCTCCTAGGCATCGTCGCGCCTCCTAAGCCCCGTCGCGTCCCCCCCCTCTGGGCCCCGTCGCGCCCGTTCGGCCCCGTCGCGCCCCTCCTAGGCCCCGTCGCGCCCGCTGGGCCCCTTCGCGCTTCCTAGGCCCCGTCGCGCCTGCTAGGCCCCGTCGCGCCCCCCCTGGGCCCCGTCGCGCCCGTTAGGCCCCGTCGCGGTCCCCCTGGGCCCCGTCGTGCCCGCTGGTCCCCGTCGCGCCTCCTCGGCCCCGTCGCGCCCCCCCTGGGCCCCGTCGTGCCCGCTGGGCCCCGTCGCGCCCCTTAGGCCCCGTCGCGCCCGCTGGCCCCTGTCGCGCCTGCTGTTAGCGCTCGCCCGCCTGGCCTCCTCCTAGTGCCGCTCGGCCTCCTCCTAGTGCCGCCCGGCCTCCTCCTAGTGCCGCCCGGCCTCCTCCTAGTGCCGCCCGGCCCCTTCCTAGCGCCGCCCGGCCTCTCCTCAGCGCTGCCCGGCCCCTCCTCGTGCCCGACCGGCCCCAGCAGCACCAGCCTGGCCCCTCCCAGCACCAGCCCGGCCCTAGAGCACCTGCCCGCCTCCCCTGCTCGGCCTGCCGTGTCCTCTCGGGCCCTGTGTCTTCTGCTTGCCTGCGCTGGGACGCCTAGCTGCTGCCCTACTGGAGAGTGCTGCCGCCGTGTCCCCGCGCCGCTGTGCTCCTGTGCCGCTGAGGAGCTGTGCTGCTGTGCCGCTGTGTCGCTGAGGAGCTGTGCCGCTGACCCTGCACGATGGCTGACTTTGTGCTCCGCCTGGACGCTGAGGGCCACGCGGTTGACTTCGCCGCCTGGCTCTCCGATCTTCGCCGCCAGCTTACAGGTCAGCGCCAGGATGGCCACTCTCTGGTTGTCCATGCTGATGGCTTGCTCCCCCGTCCCCCTGCACCTACTCCCCTCCTTGCTGACCCCTCCTCTGATGACCGTGAGGCTTTCTCTACTGCTGCGCTAGCCTGTGCGGTCTGGGACTCACGCGATGCAGTAGCTCAGGTTGCTATTAGTCACGCCCTCCCTGTGTCTGAGCGCTCGCGTTTTGCTACTGTTGAAACGGCCAAAGCTTATTTAGACGCCGTTATTGCTCGCTATTCCACCCCTGCCTCCGCTTCTGCTGGCCGCTTGCTCTTTCCGATGCTGTTCCCAGACCTGGCTGCCTTCCCTACTGTCGCAGATTTTGCCACTCATTTGCGTGCCCTAGAGACTCGCTATCGCACTGCCAGCACTGCTGCCCAGCTCACTGCGCTCCCCCCTCCTTTCTGCATGACGCTCTATTTTATCGCTATGCGCCTGCCAGACCGCCTCGCTAGTGCTCGCGACCACTTTCTTAGCCAGCACCCGGGTGACCTCACCCTGACCGCCTTTGTCGACACCCTCACTGAGATCGAGACTCGCCAGCGCACTATCGCTCAGTCGAGCGGTGCGCCGGCAGTCTCTATCTTTCACGGTTGTGCCCCATCCCCGTGCACGTTCACTGACATTTCGGCTGCGGTCGCCACGGCGACCCCTCTTACCGAGACGGCTGCTGCTGTCCACCCGCAGCAGCGCTCGCGTCGCGGTGGCCGTGGCCGCCAGGGAGGTAGGGGTGGTGACGCAGGTGGTAGTGGTCGTGGTGGTGGTGACGGTAGTCCGCCTGAGGGGACTCCCACCGGTGGGCAGGAGCAGCAGCCCCAGCAGCAGCAGGACCAGCCCCAGCCGCAGCCGCCGTCCCAGCAGCACCCGCCGCAGCCGTGGGCTCGTCTCCCGCCTGGTTGGCCCGGCACCTCCGGAGGCGGTGGCCGTGGTGGCGGCCCGCGCAGCTTGGCGTCTACCAGCGGCTCCAGTGCTGTGACCTGCCAGTACCAGCTTCAGACCGGGCCTCTCCGCGGCACTCTGTGCCGCCGCCCGCACCCGACCGCCCGCTGTTTCCGCCGCCTCGACGATCTTTTTCGTCGTCGCTTTGGCCCGGCCCCGGACCTCCCTGACTGGCACAGCCTGCTCCGCCAGGGCGTGCCGATCTTTGAGTTAGACATGGATCAGATAGGTGCTGCTTTGCATGCTTTGTATGCTGACGCTTCTAGTGTTGCTGGATCTTACTACCCTGTGTACTCTAGTTTAGGTGTTTCACCCTTGTGTAGCTTAGCTTCCCCTGCTGCGACAGGCGTAGGACTGCCTAGGTTGCCTAGTCTAGTCGCTGCACCGGCTCCGTCCCCGGCCTCCGCCACTGCGTCGCTGTCCTTCACTCTCGACTCTGGTGCTTCTGCCTGCTTCTTCCGCGACCGTTCCACGCTCACGCCGCTTGCTGCACCTGCTGTTGTCTCTCTCGCTGACCCCTCTGCGGGTCCGGTCGTCGCGCGCAGTTCTACGTCCCTTCCCTGTCCGGCAGTTCCCTCGGGCTCCCTTACTGGCCTCCACGTTCCCTCGTTCTCCAGGAACCTGGTTGGTGTCGGCTGTCTCCAGGACCTCGGCGTCACCACCACGTTCCCCGGGCACGAGCGGTTCGCTGTCTGTTCTGAGGCTGTCTCAGGTTCCCCCCTTGCGACGTTCCCCCGGGACCCGGTGTCCGGTCTGTTTACCCTACACACCGCTTCCCCCCCGGTTGGTGCGTCCTCCCAGGTCGCTGCAGCTTGCTCGTGTCGGTCCCTCACTCACCCCTCCCTTCTCTGGCACCACCGCTTAGGTCACCCTGCTCTCCCGCGTCTGCGTCACATGTCCCAGCACGGTCTTGTCTTAGGTCTCCCCGCGTCGCTCCCTGCCCTTCCTCCCTCGACTGCGCCACTGTGCACGCCTTGCGTCGAGGGTCGGCTCCGCCGTGCTCCTCAATCCTCCTCGCTGCGTCCTGCTACTGCCCCCCTTCAGACCCTGCACTTGGACGTTTGGGGCCCTGCCCCCGTCCCCGGACCGCGCGGTGAGCGCTACTTCCTTGTGCTCGTCGACAACTACACGCGCTACACCACGGTGTTTACCCTGGAGCGGAAGGCCGACGTGCCCGACGTTCTTCTCCCGTGGGTTGTGGCTGCGCGTCTCCACCGCGGTCTCCCCGTGTTGTGTCTCCACTCCGACCGTGGCGGCGAGTTCGCCTCTGGTCGGCTTAGACAGTTCTGTCGTGCGGAGGGCATCACCCAGTCGTACACGTTGCCGGACTCGCCACAGCAGAATGGGGTTGCTGAGCGCCGCATCGGCTTGGTCATGGAGGTCGCCCGTACCTCCATGATCCATGCCGATGCCCCCCATTTTCTGTGGCTGTTCGCTGTTCGCTACGCGGCTCACCAGCTTAACCTGTGGCCACGCTCCCAGCGGCCGCAGGTTTCGCCGACCCTCCTTTGGACCGGGTCCCCCGGTGACGCGTCTGCGTTCCACGTCTGGGGCTGCCTTGCTCACGTTCGTGCCTCTGGCACGGACAAGCTCACTGCCCGCACTGTCCCCTGTGTCTTCCTCGGTTTCCCCCTGGACTCGTCTGACTGGCTTTTCTACCACCCGCCGTCTCACCGCTTCCTCCACTCTCGTGACGTCACCTTTGACGAGTCCGTCTCCTTCTACCGCCGCTTCCCTCACCGAGGTCTCCCAGTTGCCCCCCCCCTTTTCCTTGCTCCCTCTCCCACGGTAGCCCCTGCCCCTCTCCCGCCTCGTCCTGCCCCGTCTGGTGTCTCCCACGTCACTCCCCTCCCGTCGGTTGTCCCCGTTGAGGAGTCTGCTGACTCTGGTGGTACCCCCGGTCCGTCCTTGCCGCGTCCCCCTTCCCCAGTGCCTCCGCCCCCACTGTCGCAGTCGCCGACCCCGCTGCCGCCGCCGTCGCCGTCGCCGTCGCCGTCGCCGCCGCAGCCGTCGCCGCTGTCGCCGCCACTGCCGCCGCTGCTCTCGGCCCCTGGGGGTGCTGGTGTGGAGGAGGGTGTTCGTCCTGCGGCTTCTGGGGGTGCCGCTGGTGTTGGAGGGGGTTCTCGCTCTTGGGGTGTTGGTTCTGGGGGTGCTGCTGTTGAGTGTTCTGCCGACGGTCGTTCTGCCTCTGCTGGTCCGAGAGTTCCGGCCCAGCCGTCGTCGCCGCCACAGCAGCCGTCGCCGCCGGTTTCCGCTCTCCGCCTGCTCGGCCTTCCCTCCCCGGACCGCGCGCCGGTGTCTCCCCCACCGCCTCCTGACCTCCCTGTCTACGGTCCTGTGTTCCCGCCGCCAGACTCGTCTCCGGCCCGTCTTCCTCCTCGTTCCTCTCCTGTGTCTCCTCCGCTGTCCCCTGACCCTACCCCTTCGTCTCACGTTTGGGCTCGCCGTCCCTCCCGTGCTCGTCCCGTCTCTCCTGTCCTGCCCACCCACCCTATGTTGCTCCGTTCCCACTCGTCTCGTCCTCCCCTCCTCCCGTCCCCTCCTCCCTCGTCCCTTGCTGTTGCACCTCCTCCGTTCTCTGACTACCTCCGTGCTGCTCGTCCCCTTGTCCCTCGGGTCCTTGCCTCTCTTGTTACCGACCCTGCTGTTCCTGTCTCGCGCCTTGACGCGCTTGTCGCTGCTGTCGCTGACTTCGCTTCTACCCGCCGCCTTGACTACGCTACCGCTCTGGTCTCTGACCCTGCCCGTCCTCTGTCCGTCGGGGGTGCTCCTGCCCTTGGCAGTGACGTCCTAGAGGACAGGCAGTACGAGCTGGCTTTCCTTTCCGAGGCTGCTCCCCATCTCTGCTCCATGCTGTTAGTCCCTGAGGGTGACCCAGACGCCTTCGACATCCCGACCCCTCGCACCTACGCTGAGGCCACCTCGGGACCTTGGGCCTCTCAGTGGATAGCTGCCATGGAGCAGGAGATGGCATCTTGGAGATCCACCGGCACTTACGTCGACGCAGTTCCCCCGCCTGGGGTGAACGTAGTCGATGGTCGGTGGCTCTTCAAGGTGAAGCGCCCCCCTGGAGAGCCGCCTGTCTTCAAGGCGCGCTACGTGGCCAGAGGTTTCAGTCAGCGCGAGGGGGTTGACTTCTTCCAGACCTTCGCCCCGACCCCGAAGATGACCACTCTTCGGGCGCTGCTACACGTAGCAGCACAGCGTGACTACGAGCTTCACTCTCTCGACTTCTCTACTGCCTTTCTTCAGGGCAGCCTACACGAGCAGGTCTACCTGCGCCGACCACAGGGCTTCACTGGTACCTTCCCTCCTGGGACCCAGTGGCTTCTCAGGCGCCCGGTCTACGGCCTGCGTCAGGCTCCCCGCGAGTGGCACGACACGCTACGTGCCACGTTAGCAGACCTGCAGTTCTTTCCGTCCTCTGCTGACCCTTCACTGTTTGTGCGTTCCGGCCAGACTCCGTTCTACATCCTTGTCTACGTAGACGACCTGGTCTTCGCTACTCCTGACAGGGACGCACTGGCCTCTGTGAAGGCTGAGCTGCTGAAGAGACACACCTGCACTGACCTTGGAGAGCTGCGTCGCTATCTTGGCCTGCAGATCTCTAGGGACAGAGCAGCACGCACCATCACTCTGACCCAGTCACACTTGGTGCGTCAGGTCCTTCAGAGGTTCGGTCTTCAGTTCTCCTCCGCACAGCCCACACCTCTACCCGTAGACCATGGGCTCTCTGCTCCCGTTCCTGAGGAGCCAGTAGAGCCCAGTGGCCCCTACGCAGAGCTGGTGGGTTGCCTCATGTACCTGATGACTTGCACTCGCCCAGATCTCGCATACCCTCTCAGCATCCTGGCTCGCTTTGTGGCTACAGGCAGACACCGACCTCAGCACTGGTCTGCCGCTAAGAGGGTTTTGCGTTATCTTGCTAGTACATCAGGCATGGGGTTAGTGCTAGGAGGACGCAGGCCAGTGGTCCTTACTGGGCACACAGACGCTTCTTGGGCAGACGACGCTGAGACGCTCAGGTCGTCGCAGGGCTACTGTTTCAGCCTTGGTTCGGGTGCTATCTCTTGGAGATCCACTCGCTCGTCGTCTGTGGCTCAGTCTAGCTGTGAGGCTGAGATCTACGCTGGTGCCATGGCGGCACAGGAGCTCCGCTGGCTGACCTTCTTGCTCACAGACTTAGGTGAGCGGCCTAGCTCTGCCCCGGTCCTGTACGCTGACAACAGGGCCATGATACTCCTGTGTCAGGAGCCTCGGCTTGAGGGCAGAGCGAAGCATATCCAGCTGCGGTACTTCCTCCTGCGCGAGCTACAGCAGCGCCGCCAGGCCCGCGTAGTTCACTTGGCCTCAGGTGCCAACACAGCTGATATCTTTACTAAGGCGCTTGCGCCTAAAGATCATCAGCGGCACTGTGTACAGCTTGGTCTTGTTCCTATAGCTGCTCCCCTGTTAGGATCCTGATTGTGTACTCTCTATTATATATGCTTGTCAGACTGGCCTTGTGGCCTTACCTCCAGTGGCTGGACTAGTAGTGCCACCCTGGCTTGCTTCAGTTTTGGTTGTATTCTTGCTGACTGGTCTCCAGACCCCTGCCTCAGTGGTTGGACTAGTAGTGCCGCCCTGAGCTGTTTGCTTCTTGTTTAGTTTCACCCCTTGTCTAGCCTAGGGGGTGTGTCAACTTATACATATTATCTATGTAGAAGTTATAGGCTAGACTGAGGTATGCTTCTAGTGAGTACAACCAACTAGTATTTGTTCTAGGTTTCCACCTCTAGTAATCATTCGTTTCTACGTTAACAGTGTGGCTTGGGCTGTGTGTGGCACTGCCACATTTGCCCATGAGGCTGCATCTAGGTGTCATAGTGTATAGCCTCGTGTGCTGGGTGCTGGTTGGCTGTCTGCTGATCGTGTCTTGCGTGTGGGTGTGTGGGTGGGAGGTACATGGAATGGGAAATAACCTATACGAATTTAATTATAATTGCTGGTAATAAACGCATCTACTATATCCGTTATCCATGGAAACCCTACCTTACGAGATGATTCTCAATACCGTGCGCTTGGGACGCGCCCTCTAAGGCGTACGTCGGGTGAGGGGAACAGCCCCGAAGGAACAGGTCAAGTTGCTGCCTGGTTTGTTTATTGACGGCTGGAGTAGCATTCCGATCGGCACTTCTCAACGAGAGTGCTCTCTCTCGCTCAGCGCGAGAACGACATAACGCGCTGACTATCACTAATTAAAAAACCGTGTTATCGTCAGGCGAAATGGCAACTGTTAATCGGCGCGGCATGCGAAACACGTAGTCGCTGAAGTATCTGAAAAAGCTCCTTTTTTCTCATAAACGCTCGCGCTTCGTCCTCGATCGGGACAAAAGTATGCAGTCGTTTTGGGCATTAACTCGAAGCCGGCTACGCTAGGTCTGATTTGGCTCGCTAGCGGGGTAGCATCGGGTTAGCGGCGGGGTAACGCGGGGTTAGCGCCGCGTTAACGGCGAGGTGCGTTTGCCGCGCGCCGGGTTAACGACGGGTGAGCAGCGGTGTAGCGCGAGCCAATCATGTTCTTCCACGTGGTGCTGGAGAAGAAGCTCCAGCTGCATCCACGTCACTTCGGGCCGCACCTTCGCGAGAAGCTCGTGTCGAAACTGGTGGCGGAGGTGGAAGGCACGTGCACGTGAGTATAACGAGGGGAGGGGGAAGGCACGTGCACGTGAGTACAACGAGGGGAGGGGGAAGGCACGTGCACGTGAGTATAACGAGGGGAGGGGGAAGGCACGTGCACGTGAGTATAACGAGGGGAGGGGGAAGGCACGTGCACGTGAGTGTAACGAGGGGAGGGGGAAGGCACGTGCACAGGAGTAGAACGAGGGGAGGGGAAGGCACGTGCACGTGAGTATAACGAGGGGAGAGGGAAGGCACGTGCACGTGAGTACGAGGGGAGGGGTAAGGCACGTGAACGTGAGTAGAACGAGGGGAGGGGGAAGGCACGTGCACGTGAGTATAACGAGGGGAGGGGGAAGGCACGTGAACGTGAGTACAACGAGGGGAGGGGTAAGGCACGTGAACGTGAGTATAACGAGGGGAGGGGGAAGGCACGTGCACGTGAGTATAACGAGGGGAGGGGGAAGGCACGTGCACGTGAGTACAACGAGGGGAGGGGTAAGGCACGTGAACGTGAGTATAACGAGGGGAGGGGGAAGGCACGTGCACGTGAGTATAACGAGGGGATGGGGAAGGCACGTGCACGGGAGTAGAACGAGGGGAGGGGAAGGCACGTGCACGTGAGTATAACGAGGGGAGAGGGAAGGCACGTGCACGTGAGTGTAACGAGGGGAGGGGAAAGGCACGTGCACAGGAGTAGAACGAGGGGAGGGGAAGGCACGTGCACGTGAGTATAACGAGGGGAGAGGGAAGGCACGTGCACGTGAGTGTAACGAGGGGAGGGGAAAGGCACGTGCACGTGAGTACAACGAGGGGAGGGGGAAGGCACGTGCACATGAGTATAACGAGGGGAGGGGGAAGGCACGTGCACGTGAGTACAGCGAGGGGAGGGGGGAGGAACGAGTGCGTTTAGCAAGGGGAGGTGTGCTGTGATTTCCCCAACTTCGCTCTCTTCCCTCGCTTCCCTCAATCACCCCTCCCTTCCCCACTCCCATCCCACTTCACCCCCTTCTTGTCCCTCGCGACAGGTTACTCTCTAGAGATCTTCCTCCCAGGTCCCCCTTTCCTGCCCTCCCAGGTCCCTCTTTCCTGCCCTCCCAGGTCCCTCTTTCCTGCCCTCCCAGGTCCCTCTTTCCTGCCCTCCCAGGTCCCTCTTTCCTGCCCTCCCAGGTCCCTCTTTCCTGCCCTCCCAGGTCCCTCTTTCCTGCCCTCCCAGGTCCCTCTTTCCTGCCCTCCCAGGTCCCTCTTTCCTGCCCTCCCAGGTCCCTCTTTCCTGCCCTCCCAGGTCCCTCTTTCCTGCCCTCCCAGGTCCCTCTTTCCTGCCCTCCCAGGTCCCTCTTTCCTGCCCTCCCAGGTCCCTCTTTCCTGCCCTCCCAGGTCCCTCTGTCCTGCCCTCACAGGTCCCTCTTTCCTGCCCTCCCAGGTCCCTCTTTCCTGCCCTCACAGGTCCCTCTTTCCTGCCCTCCCAGGTGCCTCTTTCCTGCCCCGCGGGGGACAATGGTGGAAAGCGTGGCATGATGCGCGACGACACGGCCTGGTGACCCCAGCCTCAGAGATGTGTCCCTGTTCTTCCCGCTCCCCCCCAACCTCTTAGATAGCACCAACGACATAGTGTGGTAGAGACCACACGGCATGGTGTCACCGTAGCAACGGGTGGAGAGTGGGGGCCGTGCATCATGATGACACGGGTGGAGAGTGGGGGCCGTGCATCATGATGACACGGGTGGAGAGTGGGGGCCGTGCATCATGATGACACGGGTGGAGAGTGGGGGCCGTGCATCATGATGACACGGGTGGAGAGTGGGGGCCGTGCATCATGACGACACGGACTATGTTACCCCCCTCCCTCCCTCCCCACACCCCACCCACCTTTCCGGCCCATTTCCTCCCCCCTCCTCCTGCCCCCTTCCCCCCCCTCCTCATAAGCGTTAAAGGTCGGCATGGGCTCGTGGTGGTGGCGCCGACCATTGAAAGTGTGGGCATGTGCATAATGCGCGACAGCATGCACTATGGGACCTTCTGGTCTTTTTCCCCCTCACCTCATCTCCCAACGGTATCGACGGTGGAAAGCGTGGGCAAGCCGCACGGGTGTAGCGCGAGATGACACAGGCTATGTGACGGTCCGCATAAAGCCTTCCCTGTGCTCCCTTCCTCCCCCTGCTTCCCCGCCCCCCACTCCTTCTTTCCGGCTGTTCCTTCTCAATTCCAAAGGGCGGCGTGGGTTCGTGGTAACGGTAACGCCAGTGGGATGGGAATTGTGGGCCTGCGCATGGTGCGTGATGACACGGGCTGCCATCGGGCCCATAGAAAGCGGGGTCTTCGCCTTCTCTATGCTCTTTCGCCGTATCTAATCCATGATCCCCCTCCCCCCCAAACTCCTCCCCCCTCCTCAACTTTAGGGGTCGGCATGGGTTTGTGGTGGCAGTGACAACCTTCAAAAGCGTGGGCACAGGCATAGTGCGCGATGACACAGGCAATGTGGCCTTGTGGCCTTTGTTTCCTTCATCTCCCCCCCCCCCCCGACCCCCCCCCCCTCCCCCCTTCCCATCTGCCGCCCTTTAAAGGCCGGCATGGGTTTGTGGTGGCCGTAACGACGGAAGAGAGCGTGGGCACGGGCATAGTGTGCGATGACATGGGCTGTGACCTTGTGGTCTTTGTTCCCTTCATCCTCCCCCCCCCCCCCGCTCTTGCCCATCTGCCACCCTTTAGAGGCCGGCATGGGTTCGTGGTGGCGGTAACAACGGTGGAGAGCGTGGGCACGGGCATCGTGCGCGATGACACGGGCTATGTGACGTTCCCGGTGCGCTACCAGTGTGTGGTCTTCCGCCCGTTCAAGGGCGAGATCCTGGAGGGAGTGGTCACCACCGTCAATAAGGTACCGCCGCCCCCGGTCAATGCAAGTCAACGCATGTCAACGCGTGTCAACGCATGCCAACGCATGGCAACGCATGTCAATGTGGGTCAACGAGAGTCCAAGCGCGAGTCAATGTGGGTCAACGCAAGTCAACAGGGCATATGCATGGAGTGGTCGGTCACTACCGTCAATAATGGTACCACCCAACCAGGCCCCCAAATTGCAGCCTTTTTACGCTAATTCAGCCTTTCAGGCTTTTTTCTGGTACCTATGCTGATTGCTCAGTTTTACCTTAGGCTGATGTTTCAGCAAAGTTTTTTTATACCTACGCTGATTTTTCAGCGTTTTCATACAAGTGTACACTGATGCTCCAGCGCTATAGGGGGGCTGTACCCTGAAATTTGCCTGCTTTCCTGAAATTTCGGTTAAGTCCCCCATATCTAGAGACAACCCTCCCACACACCCCCGCAATACATAATTTTTGGAGAAGTCCTAACGTCAAGAGACAATCTTCCAAACTCCCCTGCAACACTTGAATTTCTGCGAAGTCATTTATACTAGAGACGTTTCTCCAACACTCCTAGCAACTCATCATTTTCGGCTAAGTCCTCACAAAGAGACTCTCGTCTCAGCCCCCCCTGCTAAACTTGAATCGCGGCAAGTCATTTATACTAGAGACGTTTCCCCGCAACCCAAAATTGGCTAAGTCCCCCATATTTAGGCTAGAGAGACATTCCTCTCACAACCACCCCATCCCAAAACTTTTGCGCAGACCTCCAAAACCTGACACAATCCAACCAACCAATCAAACGATGGCAATTCGCGAGGCACTGTTCAAATATTGACTTTTGACGACGATCGAACGGCCCAAGTTCCAATCGTTTCTGTTTCACAGTTCGTGGCCATCGATTTCGTGATGCCTAGGTAAACGTTGGATAAAAATCCCTCCGATTTGATCTAACGGCTACAATCCATCTGTTTCACAGAGATTTTTCGTTGGGCAACTCGGTTCTGTTTTGCGGTCTGAATTTTCGAACAATGTCTCCTTACTATGTTCAATGGAAACTGTAAATCAGCCTAAAATTTAGGTGTAACACTGATTGATCAGCGAAAGTTTTTTAGGTTACGCTGATTTTTCAGCCTTTTTTTGGGGGGCGACACTGATGACCAACCCAAGGAATGGCGGGGGACACTGATGGATCAGCGTCCCCCGCAACCAATTTGGGGGCCTGCACCCAACACAAGACACAAGTCAATGCAAGTCAACATGAGTCAATACAAGTCAACATGAGTCAATGCAAGTCATGCTCGTCAATGCACGTCAACACGAGTCAATGCAAGTCATGCTCGTCAATGCACGTCAACACGAATCAATGCAAGTCATGCGCGTCAATGCAAGTCAACACAAGTCAATGCAAGCCATGTGCGTCAATGCAAGTCAACATGAGTCAATGCAAGTCATGCGCGTCAATGCAAGTCAACAGGGCATAGTGCGCGTCGATATGGGCGATGTGAGGGAGGTTTCACCGCCGTGAATAAGAAACCCTGTGTGCATATATTTCCACCTATGTTATGGTTAGTGCCCCATGTCTTTCCCTTATTGCCTTCAAGTGGCAGTACCTCTCTCTTCAATACCTCTCCTGCAAAACCTCTCCCGCAAAACCTCTCACCCTCTCAACGCACCGTCTCCCTCCCTCTTGCAATGCCTTCAGATGGGTTTCTTTGCCGAGGCGGGCCCCGTGCAAATATTCGTCTCCAACCATGTGAGTCGTTGTCGGGGCATTCGGGCTATGCGTGTGGGGATTTGACTTATAACCATGTGAATCGTCATGGCAAATGACAGATGTGTGCATGTCTCCAGACTCCCATCCATTTATGCTATAGCTTCTGCTCTGTGTATGTGTTTGTGCTCACATGTGTGCAATGTACTTGTGTGTGTGCATGTGTGGGTGGGTGGTTGAGTGCAGCTCATTCCCGACGACATGTCTTTCACACCGGGCGACATCAACAGCTACCAGACTGAGGACGGCACGGTGAGATGCGGTGATATGTGGTGATTGGTTCACCATGCTTCTGTATGTTACGCACGGTGAGACATGCGGATTGATGGAATTCGATCCGACCAGACATGCCCTTGGCACGCTGAAAGGAACCCTGAGCTGCACTAGCTAACCCCGATTCACATCTTGAGCCGCCTCGGGATGTGTCCAACCAACCCTCCATATCTCCTTCCCCCTCCCCCTCTTCTCTGTTGCCTTGCTGCTGCTGCTGCTGCTGCTGCTGCTGCTGCCATCTTTTGCCACTGCTCAGGTGAAAATCCAGGCGGACAGTGAGGTGCGCCTGAAGATAGTTGGCACGCGGGTGGACGCCACAGAGATTGTGAGTCTGCTCTTTTTCGGGTATGGAGGCGCCACTTTTTATTCTCCCCTCCCCTCTCTGCTCTCTGCTTGCTGCCATTCTCTGCTGCTCCTTTCCCCACTTGAGCAGTTGTGTGTGGGCATCCTCGTGAAGTCGTTTTTTTCCCACTGTGCGCAGGCGTCATTGTGGATGATAACATTGGCTGTGTTTGAGTTGGAGACGTCAAATTCTGCTCCCCTTCCTTCACTGCTCTCTTTGCTCTGTTTTCTCACTCATCCCGCACCCACCATCCTCAGTTCTGCATAGGAACCATCAAGGACGATTACCTTGGGCTTCATGAGTTGGAGATGCTGGTGTCGTTTCTTTCCCTCACCCTTACTGCCCTCTGCTTCTTGTCACTCTGTTTTCTCGCTCGCCCCTCACCCACCATCCGCAGTTCTGCATAGGGACCATCAAGGACGATTACCTTGGGCTCGTTTCCGAAGGGGGAGCCCCCATTTGAAGAGGCACAGATTCTGCCAAGGATGACCTCCCCCATTCGCACTGCCTTTGGCTCTTGGGCCGTCGCTAAAATGACTACCTTGGCCGCATCGTCTAAGGAGCAGCTATCGTGGTTGCTTTTGTATGTGGCCGAACGAGTTTCTATAACGTGGTCACAAACATTGGCATTATTGATAAAATCGTTGCCATATGATGAACTTACTGAATTATCAATATCATATGCTGTTGGCTTCGGGGAAAATTAAGGGTTAGAGGTTACAGAAGCTATTAAAACTAATTTTAGGGAGATGGCTGTTTTGTAACTTTGACGCATTCGCACCGACCATCGTACTTGGTGTGTGTCTTTTTCGAGAGTCAATGTCGAATCTCAATTGAAAGATTCCATTTCAAAAGATGCCTTCTGGCCGGATCGCACGTTCAGTTACAACTGAGCTGCAGATGACTTGGAAGGCGTTACTGTCCACGGAGGCATGTACACTCCCTTAGAGTTCCCGCACCACATCACACCCTACATCGGTATGCCACGTGTGTGTAACGACAAGCACCACCATCTTCGCAACCAATGTTGGAGCCCTGTCGGCTGTAAGGCTGCCACCGTCGGCGAAGATGCCTGTTCGCAAATCTGGCGTTACTCGGATCGAGCTGGCACCGCCGGCCCCTCTCCCAGCTTCTCCCCCCCAGGTGCTGCCGCAACTCCGAAGCGCGCATTTCTCAAATGTCAAGCATAAATTACTCCTGCTCTACGTATCGACTTATTCAGACTTCCTCTCGAATTCTGCCCGTATCATCTGAGTTCCAATTCTTGAATAAGCTATACAATGGCTAACTCCAATGGAGCTCTCGTTGTGACTCTGCTGATCGCTTCTTTCGCTTCGCATGCTCTCGCTGGATTCATGGGCGGAGCCTCAACTTTCGCACCTGTAAGGCTTCCTACATCTCGAACCCAAACCCAATTCAGCCAAAGTTGCTATCGCGTTTCTCTACTTCCAGCACCATCCAGCTCCCGTTCCACCACGCGAATCCACACCGTCTGGTCCGCTGTCCCAAAATCAACGCACTCACCACGAATGCGACTTAGAATCGCCTCTTTTGTCTCACATTTCCAACCATTTCCCACGTTCAGGCTGCGGGTGCGCTTATCAAGGCATGGAACAAGCTCAAGCCGGGCTTTGCCCAGGACGTCGTCGCGTACGACTCCGTCGGTTCCGGCACGGGAATCACGGGCTTCAACGCTGGCACGTACCTCATTGCTGTCTCCGACGACCCCATGACCGCCGCGCAAGAGGGCGGCGTCGTCGCGAGCGGCAAGATCACCGTGCCGCTGTGCGTCTCCACCTTCAGCTTCTTCTACAACGGGAAGCCCGGCCTTGTGCTGACGGCCACCCAGACGTACCAGATCTACAGCGGCGCCACAGCCGCCTGGTCCGGCATCCCCGGCGCTGCAGGCAAGGTCGCGGGGGCCATCACTGCCGTCGCTCGTAGCGACAAGTCCGGGTCTACCGCCATCGTGAAGACCATGTGGTCCAAGGCAGTGGCGGGCTATGGCGACGGTACGGACGGCACTTCCATGACCTACGCCGGCCTCACCAAGGTCGAGGGAACCAGCGCCGTCTGCGCCGCCGTCTTGAAGACCAAGGGCGCCATTGGTTACGCGTTCACCGGCGGCTGCAGCACGGTCTACAACCGCCGCCGGCCCAACAACCCCAAGCGCGTGATCGCTGCTCTCAAGAACGCTAACGGTGTGGCTGTCGCGCCTCCTAAGTGGGTGCCCGGTGCGGCTCTCGTCGGCTCTCCGCCCGCGGCTGACGGGTCGTGGGCGTCGGTGGATTTCATCTGGAAGGCCGGCGCTAAGACCCCGGCGATGGTTTCGATGGAGTATGGGTTTATTCGCAAGTCGCTGACGGGTGTGACCGGCGGGAAGATCGCCAAGTCGTTCATGCAGTACATGATTGGCAAGCTGAAGAACGGTGGGTATGGGTTCAACGCGGTGCCCGCTGGGTGGAGGAACCCATCCATTACCATGGTGAACGCTATCACTGTGTAGTGAGGGTTATGGCAATCTATCAGTGTGGTAAGGCATCAGTGTTATGTTGTGCCACGTTATTGTTTGGTAGATATGCTAACAGTGATGTCCTCTTGTGATGGAAGGTGTTTTGGAGGAAAGATTTGTGGATGGATGGAACCTTTAATAATGAAATCATTTTGAAAGAAGCAAAGAAGCGAATGGACAGATACGCTCATAGTCACGGAATGCTGCCAATGCGCGTTCGTTGTACTTGCCCCAGCCTTCCACACCTCATGCTCTTCATCCTCTTCCTTGGACCAGCACCACAAAATATGGGAAGGGCTTGAAGAGAAAGCCAACGCATGCGCCTCACTTACCCCACTGTATCAAAGCAACGGGAAATGGCTGGGAAATTTAATGCTTTACTGAGTTAGTCAGCAGGTTGCTCGTTGGTAGGGATGTACTGCAGCTCCAACTTCCTGCGCTTGACCATGTGATGCAGCCACATGTGACGCCGCTCCATGTGCTTGAGGCTCCCCTTGAGCCCCATGCCACCTGCCTCAGCAATCGCAGACGAATTATCGACAAAGAGTGTCGTCGGCTCCTCACACTTGAGCAGCTGAAACTCTGCCAGAAGGAAGCGCAGTCTGCGAGCCTCCTTCCCTGCTTCAACTGCCGCAATATACTCTGACTCAGTAGAGGAGAGAGTAACACAACGAATCCTCTGACTCGCCCAAGCAACTGCAGCACCGCCAAACACAAAGACGTTACCTCCTGTGTTGCTTCGGTTTTGCTTGTCTCCTGCATCATCAGCATCTGCGTACCCTATCAGCTCCAAGGACGCTGGACCCCCATTGAATTCTAAGGCCGCATCCTTGGTCCCCACCAAGTAGGTCAGGCACCGCTCCAGCTCCTTCCAGTGCTGATCACTGCGCACTGTTTGTCCTGACCCCAGCTTACTGCATGCGAAGGCGATGTCAGGGCATATAGTACAGGTAGCAAACAGCAAAGATCCCACTTTCTGTCTGTACTCCTCCTCCTGCCTTGAATGCCACCCCTCATCCTCAAATGTCAGCTCGCTGAATGGGCCGGAGGAGAGAGGGGTTCGTGGCATATGCTGCCAAAAAGCGCCGCTGCACTTTCTCCACGTAGGCCGACTTGTGCAGCCACAACTTCCGTGAGGGCCTATCGCGTATCAGCTGCAACCCCAAGTATTTCTCGATTGGGTTGATATCTCTCAGCTGAAATGCGCCCTGCAGCAGCTCACGCAGCTCCCCCAGCAGTTCTGTTCTGCAGCTGGCCGCCAGCAGGTCATCCACATACACAAGCAGCCAGCACATCTCACCCCCATCATTGCTCTTGAAGAAAAGAACCTCATCCACTTGGCACTTGCACCATCCAGACCCAAGCAGCACCCCATCCAAGGCCTCATACCAGAGCATCGGGCTCTGCTGGAGTCCGTACAGGTTCTTCAGCAGCTTGCAGACACGAGGAGTCCCATCCTCGTATTACTTGGGTTGTTCCATGTAGAGATCTCTGTCCAGCACGCCTTGAAGAAATGCGTTCTTCGCATCCAACTGCATCAGCTCCATATCCAACGCAGTTGCCACTGCCAGCAGCATGCGTGCTGTCACGTAACTCCCCATGGGTGCATAGGTCTCCTCATAGTCCAAACCTGCCACTTGAGTGAACCCCTTGACCACCAGCCTCGCCTTCTCTCGCTCCACTCGCCCATTCGGCCGATACTTAGTGTTCAGGATCCAACGATTCTTCATGATGTTAACCCTAGGTGGTGGTGTTATGAGTTCCCAAGTCTCCTGCTCGAGTAACGTCCGCATCTACTCATCCATCGCCTCTTCGACACGGTCGCCTTTCCAGCACCCCAACGCCTCAGGCACTGTCGTCTTCCCAATGTCCCATTGTCTCTCTGGGTCTGTTTCCACATCCGAATCAAGCTCAGACCACTCCTCATCCTCGTCAGCATCATCCAGTCCTGGCTCAACCACCACTGCCCATGCATACCGAACAGGCGTAACTCCCCTCGTAATGCGGGTAGAGCGACGTAAGTCCGGAGTGATGGTTCCTGAAGCCAACACGCGACTGCCACTCCAATCTCCCCCTTCTCCTTCACCCTGCTGCTGCTGGTCTCCTTCGCCTAGCTGCTGCGAATCTCCTTCACCCTGCTGCTGCTGCAAGCCTACTAGCTCCATCAGCTCTAGTCGGAAGCTGTTCGTCGGTGAGCACAGGAGATGGAGGCTCCAACACACCCCCCTCATCGACGGGCAGCGCCGGCGGAGGGGAAGGGGAGGGTGACGCAGGAGGGAGGGAGGGGTTAGGAGGACGTGGGATAGTAGGAGGGGAAGAGGAAGAGGGAGGAGACATGGGGGGTGGTGGAGGAGGAGCGGGTGGGGCGGGAGGTGCGACACGAGGATACACGGAGACAGGGGAAGGGGTCAGCACAGAGATGGGCACAAAGGGCAGGGCAGGAGAGACAACCACTTCCACCTCCTCAACCACCTCCGAAAGCACATCTGGGAAGAGGGAAGGGAGGGCCTCATAGGGCAGTGGTTGCCCAGCATGCTCCTACTGATGCCATGCCTTCCACCTAGCAAGAGACATTGTCTCATAAACGACGGCCTCCGAAGTGGTGACAAGGCGATTGGACTCCAAGTCCAGAACATGCCATCCCTTGCTGACTGCAGACACACCCAAGTGCAACCCCCATCGAGCCTTAGGCGCGAGCTTCCCCCCACGCTGAGACTGCAGCACCATGTACTGCAGCATGCAGCCCCAGATGCGCACCATACTAACATCAGGTTTACGACGGAAGGCGTGTTCACACGGGGTGATCCCGTCGGACAGAGAGGCATGCTCCATACGGTTGCGCACCCAGACCACCTGCACCACCGCCAGATGCCACCAGTGGTGCTGCACACCCATGTGCAGCAGCATCGTCCGTACAGCTTCCACAATGCTCCGCATTTCCCGCTCCGCCATTCCGTTTTGCTCCGTCGTGTAGGGAGAGGTGAGGTCGTGCTCGATGCCGCGCTGGTTGAGGAAGGCAGTGAATGCTGCACCCAGGAACTCACCGCCACGGTCAGAGCGCAGGGCCTTCACCTGCATCTCACACTGCCGCTCTGCCAAGGGTAGCCACTTCTCGAAGGCAGCCAAGGCGTCACTCTTCTGCGCCAGTGTGTAGATCCAGACATACCGGGTCTTCCGATCCTTCAACACCAGGAAGTAACGGCTCCCATCCTTGGCCCGCTCCCGAAAGGGTCTGCAGAGGTCTGCATGCACAACTCCAAGCACCTCATCTTCCTCGCCACCCGTGGGAGGGAAGGTATGACGAGTAATCTTCCCACCCACACAAGAGACGCAAGGCAGTCCCGACTTTCCCCCTTTCTCCAGCTCCAAGCCCATCACTGACCCATGAGCTGCAGTACGCCGAATGGTGTCAACACCAACGTGTGCGAGGCAAGCGTGCCACATGTCAGCCGACGACCGCAAGTCGGAGGCCAACGCCCGAAGTGCCACAGTCTCGCCCAGAGCATGCTCAGCAGGCCACGGCTGGAAGTCGGTACACAACACTCGCCCCTTGAATTCAGCACGCCCCAAGAGGGAGCCATCAGGTGCACGCAAGAGTGTCCGCTCCCCTGTATCCAACTGCTGCACTCCGGTATCCCGCAGCTGCCCTGAGGAGAGAAGACTAGCCTGTACCCCCGGCACATACAACACGTCCGGTACCAAGACACGCTTTCCCCCCTATCTCAGGAGAGCAATGGTGCCCCTCCCTTGTACTGGCTGTATCGCGTCGTTGAATCCGCGAACCTGGCTGATGGAACTATCACTAATCAGCTCCACAAATGCCGCCCGATCTCCCATCAAGTGGTGGGAACAACCACTGTCCAAAAGCACAACACTCGGGTTGGCTTTCACAGCAGCTGCAACAACCTGCAAGCCTTTCCCGGCCTCCAGTTCCAATGAGATCGAAGACTGCTGCACTAGGATTGGTTCCACCATCGCGCAGGCGGACTGCCCTCCGCCCCCCGAACTGCTGCCTTCCTTGCAGTTGCCACCACCCCCACTGGCACCCTCACTCCCTTGCCCCTTCTGCGCTACCTTGTCCTTGCGCTCTAGGCAATGGAAAGCGACATGCCCTGGCTGGCCACACGAATAGCATTTCCCCTTGAAAGGCTTTCTCCCCCCTTTCTGCACTTCCCCCTTCGCCCCTTTTCCCTTCCCCTCTCCTTCTCCACCCCCGCTTGTCTGCTTCGCCGATGGCTGTTGCACAGGAGTGGATGGGGAAGGGGCAGGAAGCGTATCTTGCTTTGGGAGAAATGATGGCTTGCCAAACCTCTTTGGGAAGGTCAGGTTTTCCTGGGGAGGGAAGAAGTCCTTTCACTCTTCTGCTGCCAAAGTGCATTCCTCCTCTATGATGTAACTAGCGAGGGTAACGTCATCTAGCTCGCCGCGCACCTGCGGCAGCTTCAGCATACGACGTAAGAGGTTATATTACCGCGGCAACCCCTTTACGATGCGGGTAATGTACGACACCTGCGAGTAGTCTACGCCAACCATTCTTAGATTTACGAGAAGCTGATGTGCATGATTGCAGTAAGACGTGGCGGACTCGTGCTTGCCCATCTTGAGGTTAGTGAGCGCTTGCTCTAACTGACCTAGAGACAAGTTGTCCTTCGCCATGTATGTTTGCATAATGAACTGCCAGGCTTGCAACCCGGCATCTACCTTCAAGCGATACGCTTTAAGGGATACTTGCACTTGGGGGGAGCAGCAATGAGAAATAGTCGTAAACATCAGTAAATGAGCAGCTCGGAATTGCGAGAGAAGTGCTACTGCGTGCTTTGGAGGGGTAGAGTCGTCGATAAAGCGTTTGAGCTGAGCTATCTCGAGCTGAGGCTCAATTGATTCTACCCAAGACGACAGGTCGTGACGCCCTTCTAGCGGCCTAGGCACGGTGATCTTGTCTGGAGTGAATTTAAAGTAGCCGTAGTGAGGCGCTATCCCGAAGTCTCTTGCCGCAGAGCTTTGCGGTTTAATGCCAGGCATGTCCTCTACATGTCCTCCTCCGATGACACTTCGCCGCCCTATCTCGTCGCGCTCGCGCGATGCTGCCGCTTGATGCAAACGCTCTTGAATGCCAC